TTTTAGTAATTACTACTGTTCTTTTTAAACACTTCAACTACCCGAAAATATTTAACTTCTATTTTTTTATTTCTCTTTACTCTATCAAGAAACAATTTCAAATTATTATTAATCTGATCAAATTTTATCTTTTTCTTACTAATTGATATTAAACTATCGATCATCAAAAATTTTTCAAGATTTAAAACTTAAACTAATTTATTTACGAATTTTTTTTTATATTAACCAAATTCAAGATACAGATATGAATACACCTATATTACAAATTTACAATACTCTTAAATTTTATATTAATATTTCTATAAACATACCTGTACAAAAATTTTTAACAACTTATTGTATTTCTTCTTTCTCTTTATTCTTACCAAAATTTAATAAATAGTTTTAAAAATTTTTCAAATATTACAAAAAACAATTCAATACTATTAATAAACAAAAAGTCTATAACTATATCAAATTCCAAATAGTGATAACAATAAACAATAAATACAGAAAACTCATTTCTAAAGAAATCTACTCCTTAACTATTTTATCTATTTAAGACTATACAAATACTACTATCAAAACTGCATTATACTATATATATACATATATAGATCTTTTCAAATATATAATTCTTATACTAAATACTATACACAATCTTTGCAATTTAATTACTCACTTTTTCAAACTTTCTTTTCAAACCTTATCTGCTTTTAAATATACTTACTTAACTATTGATAACTTTATCTTTTTATCTAACCAATCTTATACCACTACTCTTTTCACTACCTTTTATTTTAAAGACCTCTATGAACTTGTTAATCAAGCAGAACAAAAATTTATTACATTTAACCAAAAACTTAACAAATTCAAAAAGTTAAAACTTTTTGAATCAAATTTTATAACTCAATCTCTAAATAGATTTTTTTCTTCTTCAATAGTTATTTTAAAATACTTAAAAATAGTCACAACTAATGATCAAATCATAGACCTTAACTTTAAAAAAGCACTTAACAAATTTTTCTTAACATCTACAGACCTACAATTCTTAGCCAAAATTATTGTTTACTATGATATTACTCAAATCTTTAAATCAACTATTGCAAACTTTAAAATAAATTTAAAGAAATTATATCCTAATCAAGCAAACCAATACTTAATTAAAAAGTTCAAGATCTCTGTTCCTAATATCATATACAAACTTTATTGCTACAAATTTCAATACTCAATAATAACAACAACAACAATAACAACAACAACAACAAAAACAATAATGATAACAACCAATTAGCTCTTCTACAAAATTTAAAACTTCTAAAATTAATAAACAACAAAAGCATTATTCTAATAAATTAACTATAAAATTTAAAATTCCTAAAATTGATTAAAGCCTCTTTCTAATTTAAAACTTACTTTATATCTTATACTTTAATACTTTAACTATATGTCTCTATATATTTTATTATTTCTCATATATTTTATAACTTTATACACTAAATATAGTCTAGTATTCTTCATTATATCTTATAACTTATATATATATATTTTTTATATTAAAGTGACCACTTGGAGGTCTGGCACAGTTTAGAGTAGTGTCATTTATCACCTGATTTTTTTTATCAGAGGCTTACCCCCTCCTTCTCTTACTATATATTTTGATTAGGTCTTTATATATAATTTTAAATTTTTTACTATCTCTTTCTCTAAAAAATCATCTGATTTTTGTTACGTCCCTTATTAACTTCACGGTTCAAATATCAGAATACCAAATAGATATTCTTTAACTTTGTTATATTAAAAAGAGTACAATTAGTCACACATATAACTTTAGTTATTGTCTAATTAAAAGCTCTACTATATCTATTTCTATCTATAGTTATCCACCAATTGCTATATCTAAGATCTACTTGTGGATCTCTTATTTAAACCTCTAATCGATTTAGCACTATCAGATATTTTCTCTAGAAGAATTCTTGCTACTAAGGCCTCTTAGAACTACTTTATCCTTGTGATAAATCTCATAACTTTATATTATTAAATATACAAATCTTTTAGTTTAGTTTTACTTTAAATTCATTTAACTAAATACTCTATTTACACTATATCTATTTTTTTTTTAAAACAAAAATAGATGAGTCTTTGACTATTCTAGTAGGTTTAGGTTGCAGATAAAATAGTCTGAGTTTTTATTCTTGCAATGTAGTTTTTACTTTTTATATTTATATACAGTGAAACCTCCCTAAATGCACGTCGCCGGGACGGACTATAATGCGTGCATTTAGGGAGGGTTGCAATTAAAGAATAGCCAATCATATTTCGGTATTATTCAAGTCAAGTGAATATACTAGCCAATAATAATATACAGTATTTATTATTATATAAAGATTCACTATCTATATCGCTATCTATATCACTATCTATATTTTCAACTAACACATAAAAATTTTTTTTATGATTTATAACCATATATAAAATAACTTATAAAAAAACTCACGACTTGCTTAGAGATCACGAATTTGATTTAATGAACTATGGTGATCTACAAAAAGATAATATTTAGAGTTTTATTATAATTTGTTTAAAGTTTTATAAGGGCTCTGCTAACGGTTTTCTCCTAACATCGAAACCTTTAATATAAAGAACTAAAGGCTTAATGTCAGCATTATTATAAAGATCTCTGTCAGTACTTTCTTCCTTTAACGTAAATATTTCAAGATTCAATTAGTGTTTTGTAAAATGCTAGTAATCTAGCTAGCCGAATCGAAGTAAGTTTCAATATTTGTTTGTTTGAATGCTGCATTTTGAAGCTTTCTTATATCTTTCTGTAATTTTAATAAAGCCTCATCGTGTTCAGACTGGGCTTTTTCGCTAAAATCTTTCTGCACAATATAATGCTCAATTAGTTCTATTGTATTTAATACTTCTTAGTAACTAACTTGACGCATTTCTACACTATCATCATCATCACTTTCA